GTTGGTGGTTTGCGAGGACCGAGACATCCAGCCCATTGGGACAGGATGCATTAGCTCACGAGTGGCCGAACTGCCTATTGTACGCGTTCCCTCCTTTTCCACTTCTATGGGAGACCCTACATCGAATATTCCTGTCCAAACACAGGGTGCTTTTAGTGGCACCTCATTGGCCAGCCAGACCATGATTTCCTCTTCTTCTGAGTCTGTTACAGGGCGAACCGTGGCAGCTTCTCATCAAACGGGACCTGCTTTCTCAGCTGAACGGCCGTGTTTGGCACCCAGATCCAGCTCATCTTCAGCTTTGGGTTTGGCCAGAGCCATAGAAAGAGAGAGTTGCGTCAACGGAAGTCCAAAACGCTCGATCGTCACGTGATTCACGTAGACCTCAAATAGTTCCAGGAAGTTCATAGCGGGCAATTTTGGCCAGTGGGTCCACTTCTCAGTTAACTGATTGTGAGCCAGCAGTACTGAACACTATCGGTCTTTGTCAGGTGACGTCACACTCACGAGAATCGAAGTGGCATCTAAAGCCTGTTCGTTCTACTCCCTTTCCTTTTTGGGACTTGCCACTTGTTCTAGAGTTTCTTTGCACACAGCAATTTGAACCATTGGATGTTGTGGATATTAAGTGGTTGTCCTTAAAGGTATCTTTCCTGTTAGCCATTGCTTCTGCTTCATGCCCTGCCAGTGAGTGTACCATGCTTACGCTGGTTACCAGAGGATTCTTCGGCCTAATCCATCTTTCCTCCCTAAGGTCTTGTCGCCACAATTTGTGAATCAGTCTATTCATTTGACTGCTTTTCAACCTCCTCTTTCACCTTCTGATGCAGGGTGGGGGAGGTCTCATCTTCTCTGTCCTGTAAGAGCTTTGAGGTGCCATGTTAAGTCTACTGCTCCTTTTAGGCAGACAGATCAGTTATTTGTCTGTTATGGTGAGGTACGCAAGGGTGCCCCCTTGTCTAAGCAAAGATCATCACGTTGGATTGTTGAGGTGATAAAGTTAGCATATAGTAATTCTAACCAGCCTTTACCAGTGGGTGTTACTTGTCACTCTACTAGGGCTGTCTCTTCATCTTGGGCCGCCTTACGGGGAGTTTCCTTGGCGGAAATCTGTGCAGCTGCTACCTGGTCCTTTCCATGTACCTTTGCGTGGTTCTACAAGGTCAACGTGGCTGCTTCCCATGATGTGAGTTCTGCAGTCCTTCTGGACGATCCTTGATGTTTGCAGGTGGGTGGCATTCCTCATGACTGTGTTGGTATGTGTCATCCACTAGTGCTTAGGAATGAAACAGAATGCTAGTTACGTATGTAACTGTGGTTCTGTGAATTCTGGATGACCGCCAGAGTTCTTCGAGGCTGGGCATCGAGCTGCTGTGGCTTATATCCTCGCATCTCGGTCGACGTCATGACGTGACTTTGTTGTTATTTTTTCTCTACCTATCTAACTGACGCAGCGATTATCCACTAGTGCTTAGCACCGCCTCTGGCGGTCATCCGGAATTCACAGAACCACAGTTACATACGTAACTAGCGTTTCTGTTTCTGTTCTCCTTCAGGTTGAGCAACTTTACTTATAGGCGGGGCCAGGTACACTTACAGGCGACACGATTCATTCAGATTAACATTACAGTTTAGTAACAGTAATGGGCCTACGTGTGTCTTTAAGTATGTGGAAACTTGCAGGTAATTTTCTACTTAATTGTTGTATCTTACCAGGAGATGAATATCAATTGATAATACCTTTCCTATGGGTCTGCAATAAAGTTCTAGAATAAATTATAAATTATAAAACTATTGTTACCTTCCCTGTAGAAAATCGATAACAGAAGCTTTGAAAACATCTTGTTTATTATTGAATTTATTTTTGGATCATTTTAAATCAATATATTAATTAAATCTATAAATGACAATATAACAAAAACAACAAAACCCTCCTTGTAGGACACAAAAGTGCTTCTTCCTCCAGGGGGTGCCTGAAGGCTCATGCATTCGATTCCTCTGTTAAGCTGCGAATGAAAATCTCCATAAAACGATTTAAAAAGTGTTTTCTCCCTTCCATTACTCACGCAACTAATACAATTTCTCACTAAATGTAAAAAAACAACCAGGAAAACCAATTAACAGATACTTCATACAAAAGAATACGGCTGAGACGCACGGCTTGTGTCTGAACAGAATGGGTCTTTATTCAGGAAATGAAAGAAAAAGATTGTAATCAACACCCCATTTAAATACAAAACAAATCAAAATAAGGAACAACATGATATTCAGTTTGCATATCAAAGAGCCATTCAGTAATAATTACAGTCTGAACACTTCATAAACCACTTGTGTGAATCTATACACAAACTTGATTTAGAAACTAGAACATTAACAATATTACAAAGATTTTAGCTTTAAAAATAATTCAAATTGAAATAATATGTTAGCAGTTAGCATCATAAAATTATATATTCATATCTTTCCACATAAAAATACAAAATAATATTAATGACATATAATATGAAAAATTATCCCAAATATTTTGCTACTATTAGAGTAAAATAAAAAAACAAAACAAGAAACAAAAAAAACCAACCAACGAACAAAAAAGAAATAGAAATATGCATGAAAAAGTTTCTCCTTTTGTTAGCAAAACACTATCCAAAATAACTACAATCATTTACATCAGTACAAAGATATCTGGATTTAAAAATAGTTGCAATGAAAAAAAGGGGTTTCATCTTTTCTGACAGTAAAAAATGACACTGTGAATCAGAAATTTGCAAAATATGCAATGAAAAAAATAAATCTGCATTAAAAAGGTATACACTGCAATTCTCACTTTTTTGTACAAACATTAGAAACAGTATTGCACGTCACAACACAGATTCGAGGTTAGTAAGCCTTTCAAAATGTGTTATATTCAAGTTTCTGAGTATCAGTGAGGGGAGGGCTGATACCCCTCCATCTAACCAGGGAGAGTCTCAAGTGTTTTCCATGAACATAGTAGAACCCTCAATGCGTCCTTCCTTCAAATTAAATACACGACCAACTTAAATAGTAATCAAATTGATGTGTGCTAAGCAATAATACATACATAGATTCGTTTACACACACTCACTCACACACACAACTGCACGGATGATTCAAGAAATGGCCTTTTGCGTCTTCCAGTGTGACGCTGCGTGTGAACGTAACCATAAATACGTGGGCAAATCAAGTGAGAGAGGAAATAGAAAAATACAATTTAAATCAAATAGTTACCTGTCTACAAAAATAGTCAAATAAATATGATTTTTCAAAACGACGACGACAACGAAAACCCACACATACACGTACGAAGCCAACAGTGTTGAACACGGAAAATGGAGCATGCTACTTGTCACCGACAGAGAGAAAGACACCGATGACGATGAAGCGGCCATCTTGTTTAGCTCCCAGAAACACCATCGCTACTTACTCCGAGTACACGGCAGATTGCCGTCATCGCTTAAATAGAATCTGGGTCCAGCGTCTTACACAATCAAATAAGTTACTATGCAAAAAATAAAGATATTTAAATTATCCAATAGACTTAAAATAGGTCACAATTCTTCCACAACCAAATAGTATACAAAAAAGGTGATGTGATACAAAATTAAAGAGACTGTTTTGCGTTCGACTCCAAACGTCAAGAAAAGAGGGATTGGTTCTCTAAGAGGAGAAAAGAGAGGAAGAAATCGAAAAGGTAGTGCATCACGTGTCCTCGAGAGTCTGGAAACAGGCGACACGTTGACAAATAAATACACACATATACGCAATAAATAAACACACAATCTCAGCTCACTGTTGACACTTGAAAGGTTAAATCACATACACAAACTCGAGAGTGCAAAAAGAACGATAGACAGACAGAAAGAGCGGTACAGTACCGAACAACTGGTCGCAGCACCAGCGGCCATTGCTTCTGTTGAAATTGTCCATAAGACTGATCCGAGTGAAAACGCAAATGCTACAAAAATATTCACGACAGGGTTCCTTTCGTGACATCTCTCTCCTCTCTTTTCTCTAGGTCTGTTCTTACCGATAGATTTCGTCCGGAGATTAAACTACGAACCACGCGTGCCCAACACACACAGACAAAACGACCACGGGTACGATTCCTTCGGCGAATTCCTACGAACTACACATATCAAAGTCCGGCGCTCTATCGCAATACGAGGGGTGGCATTCAGGGGTGTTCAGGAAGGGCAGAGGTTAAATGTCAAGAGACGATCCTCTAGATCGTAGAACTGAAACCTCAATTCATAACTAGACTCACACGGCACGAAGACGAGACAAGAAAACCACAGGACAGCACACCGTCTCTTGACTAATTATCGAGTTACAAAATGGCAGAACTCACTACTCTAAAAACGTCACTTCTCTCGTAATAATTTCGTAAAGGAATCATCACAACAACGCATGCAAAGGTTTTACGAAGAATTTTACACAGTTTTTTTTTTCCTTTCGATATTAGTATTGATTATCTTATATATCTTAAGTATCTGACCTTTTTTCGCCTCATGCTACATAAATTCCTCTGTTTATCATTAATATGCATCATGTTTTGTTTGTGTTTTTTTCTATCTTATATGTGCTGGTAACCTTTACACTGCATGCAAATGATGTACAGCCACAAACATGCACGTAAGTTTTCACATTCTGTGTTTCCATGGCGACGATCGGCCATGTCGTGCGAGAGGGAACGGACTGCATTTCTGTGTATGACATCGCCAGTGACGTCACAATGGCATTACATAGAACACCGACACTATCTATTCGTTATATCCTATATAGCAGCAAAGCTTCTTCTATAGCTTGTGATTAAATTGCAAGAGTAGAGCAATAACAAGCCAGATTAATATTCTGAGGTATTGTCTTTTTTTTTGCCAGTGGAAAATGGAAAGTCTCAGTAATTCGTTATTGAATCATTCCTATTCCTGCTAAGAGCACATTGGAGCAAAACATCAAGGGGGGAAATATTATTGTTTTTTTTGTTTTTTTTGTATATTCCGCGGCGAACGTCTCGTTTTCAGGCCGCGCGTTTTGCTACCTTTGGTTCGAGATCCAGGGCAGGCATCAGAGATTACGTCATCAAGGGTTTTCCAGAGACAATTGCGCACTTTGCCCACTAGGGGGGGATTTAGCAGCAGACGGACACACGACGGACAGAACGAATGAACAGAACGGACAGGCTGCCCCCCCAAGCGAAAACATTCTCGTTTCTACTTTTTAAATCTCACATATAAAAATAATTTGAAAAAACTACAAAAAATCAATCTCTTTTTTTTTCTTAATCTCCTTTTTAAAAAACACGAACGTACCACAAAAACTCTGTTCCGAGCCTGAGATGTACAGGGAGGGAGGAGAAAGAAGTGGTTTGGTGAAATAAACTTGTTGTGAGTTTAAACTGAGGCTTGTAGTGTTTCTGGCTGCTACAAAAGATAAAGATATATTTATATATTTATAGTCATATATATTCTCTATATACTGTATACGGTTATGTACTCTATACTGACAGCTTGGGTTCAGGGGCCAAACTAAGCATCTTTTTCTTCCCGCAGCAGACGTGTTGTTTCTGCGTCGTCTTGCATGCTGCCGCTCCTGGAGTCCCCGTCTTCAGTTCCAGCGGAAGTGGACCTGCCGGGGGCGGTCGGCTCCCTCTTTGACCAACGGCTTGTGGAACTCGCGGCCGGCGCGGGAGTGGATGTTTGCCCAGCAGAACTCGCAGTAATACTGCAGGCAGGTGACGTTGGCGCAAAAGAACGGGGCAAACTTTCCACCACAACGTGCCCCCTGGCATTCGTCACACAGCTGGTCGTCTAGCACGTACGGCTTCACCTCCACCTGTGTCACATGAATAACAGAACACGGTAGTTTAATTTCAATTCTGGTAAAGTACAGGGGCTGATATAGCTACTTAAACAGTACCATGATCAGTGTCGGGCGTAATGCATTGCTAAGTAATTTAAATAATTTTCCCTTGAAAAAGTAAAGTAATGGATTACTCTTTTTTTTTTTTTTTTTATGTAACCTTCTCCATTTAAATAATTTGGTCAGTTCAAGAATAATTTATACAATTTTATATTATTTATTTTAATTTAAAAAAAAATCTGTTTTTTCAAATATCAGTATCAGATCAGTTTCATATTTATCCTTATATTGTTCAGCTGGTTGAGGTTGATATGGGATTTGAAAAGTAATAAGTAATGCAATGCGTTATAGAGAAAGTAATTTGTATATTAATCTAATTACACTGTTGAAGTCTTTTTTAGCGTAACTTCCCAACGCTTACCATGATATTGCTATTTTGTGCATATGAATTGGACTATAAAGTCATGGGTAAAATAATGACACATTTATAGCATTGGACTACTCAATATCATTATATTATTCAAAGGTTTTAATATTTTAAGAAAATACAGTATTACAATATCTAAAACAGAGTTTTGGTATAATTATTACATGTAGTTAGTTATACTCAACAATGCAATGCTAGAAGTGCACTTAATTGTACTGAATGCGCATTTGCAGTGTTATTCAAATCTTATATAAAACTACTTGGAGATAATATAATGTTATAAAAACTAAGTGCACATTTTTAACTATGTTTCTTAAAATGTGACGGATGAACTGAAAGAAATATCAGTTGCATTGTGGCATATGTTCTTTGTTACACTGCACATTTGCCGAATCTAGCAAGTGACTTGGGTATTGTATGTACACAGGAAAAAAAAATAAAAAATAGCATACTATACACAGCATGCATACTATACACTACTGATATACTAAGAGTAGTATGGTAGTGTGCTATTCTGGGGTGCGTTTCCCAAAAGCATCGTTAGCTAACTATGGTCGTTAATTACATTGAACTCTATTGGTAACGACGGAACTTGCAACCATAGTTGCTTTTGGGAAACACCCCTGGATGTTAATAGTCTCTAACAAACATGTAAGTTCAGGGCTCTAGACTGCGAAAATTTTTTGAGAATGTGCGAGTTATAGTTTGACGTGGTCGCATTTGTGCGAGTGCATGGTCTGCGCTGGTCCAAAGCGTTTGCTCCATACAGCGCGCGTTGCAGAGCTGTGGCATATTGTAGCAGGAGTCAGATTTCACTGATCACGTGAAGAGAGTGACAGAGGCACTTTGCCAATGCTTCAGGTGTAGAGCCTGGTTTATACTTGCCATGTCAGCACGAGCGCGAAGGTGCGCGCAGCACGAGGCAAAAATGACGCACATATTGAGGAAACGATGGCAGACGGAAGATTTGCTTTTCAAGCTAAACTAAAGTAAAAGACCGCTTCTTAAACCAGGGAAGGTGATCATGTTGGTATTCTTGTGTAAAAAACATGCAAGTCCTTTTACCGACAGCCAGTTTAGATTTACTTCTCTTTTTGTTTTCATTTTGAAAAGCTTGTTATCTTTGCTGTTTACCTCACGTTACACTATGGAGGCTTTCTTTTATTTATTTAAATTTTTTTTGATTCCTCAGTGTTTGCTAAACGTTCTGTAATTTATTAGTCGTTATTGTTGGGGTTCTGTCACTTCGGTCTAGTTTATTCATGGTTTTGTGACAGAGCCCTGACACTCCCGTCATGTCGTGTTTTTATGTGGATACTCGAAGCCACGCCTTGTTTCATGTTGGAGCGTGGTGTTCGGATCCCGGCACTCATGTCCTGTTCAAGTTTCGGTTTCGTGTCGGGGTTCGGACACTCACGCACCATGTTCTGTCTTGTTGTGTGAGCGTGCGCTCTCCTGTCCATATGAATTGTGTTTCACGAGTTCACACTTACATATAATAAACAGAGTAAAGGTTATGCGTATTTGGCATGCTGTCCGAGGGGAGGGCTCCGAGCTCAGAATTTTAGCCCGAACCCAGAGTACCCCTCTACAGGTTAGTACAGAAATAGTTGTAAATGCGGAGAAGAGGTGGCGGAGAGATTCTGGAAAAACTGTCAAGAAACAGAGGTAGGTCTGCTGTGTATATTGTCATGATCTGACTCCTGTTCCCCTGTCTTGTGTTTGGACTTTTGTGTTACTTCCTGTCTAGAGTGCCTTTTGTAGTCATTTTGTAGTTATTTTGTTTCATTGGTCCTTTTGATTACTTTCCCAGGTGTGTCTTGTTACCTTGTCATCTTGTTAGTGTCTCTGTGTATAATAGTTCTGTGTTTTAGTCAGTCTGAGTCAGTCGTTGTCTTTGCGAAGTTGTGGCATGTTGTTTCTGTTTCCTGGTTCTCTCTGTGTTTGGTTCTATGTTTCTGGATTTGGATTACCTTTTGTTTTATTAAATGTTCCACTGATTGCATTTGGATCCTACCTTGACTCTTCCTTGCATTGACAGGTTACAGAACGACTGACCAATATGGATCCAGCAGCAGTGAAGTTAATGTGTCTTCGTCAAGGTGATCGGCCAATTGAGGAGTATGTCATGGACTTCATTGAGCTCGCTCATCAAACCAGAATGTCTGAGGTATCCCTTATGATCTTTTTTTGAGGGGGACTGTCTGAGTCACTTGGTTTAATCATGCCATTGCATGACCCAAGCTGGACCCTGGAATTTTATATTGACTTGGCATTGCAGCTGAGTGGCTCTGCTTTTACTGTGGGAGTTGTGGAGGAGCAGTGCAGCGCTCCCGCAGTAACCTCCACTCCAGAGCCTTGTCATAAGTTGGCCGCCAGCCCAGAGTCTCGCCAAGTCTCCGCTGATCTCCCTGAGTCAGGTCAAGTCTCAGCTGATCTTTCTGAGTCAAGTCAAGTTACAGCTGATCGTCCAGAGCCTCGTCGCATTTCTTTTGTAGTTCTTTTGTTTCACTGGTCCTCTTGATTACTTTCCCAGGTGTGTCTTGTTACCTTGTCATCTTGTTAGTGTCTCTGTGTATAATAGTTCTGTGTTTTAGTCAGTCTGAGTCAGTCGTTGTCTTTGCGAAGTTGTGGCATGTTGTTTCTGTTTCCTGGTTCTCTCTGTGTTTGGTTCTATGTTTCTGGATTTGGATTACCTTTTGTTTTATTAAATGTTTCACTGATTGCATTTGGATCCTACCTTGACTCTTCCTTGCATTGACATGTTACATATATATATATATATATACACACCTCTTATCTTGTTAATTGGGTTGATTACTGATTGTACACCTCTCGTGTTAATTAGGTAAATTATCTGAACTTGCTCCTCCGGAACTTTGTTAATAAAACATAATTTTGTGTAGCATGCGGTTTGCATTCGGCCGCATGCTTGTACTGTTGTCTTGTGTTGCTGCACGCAGCTTGTGTTTTTCATTTATAATACAGCATGTGGTGTATGCCATGCCTTATTCATTTTTGTTAAACGTTATGTAAGCTAGTTTGTCATTGTAGCCTCCTGTTTTATTGTTGTTGTGCTTTTTAATTAAGAATAACAATGAATCAATCTTTTGCTTTAGTTTTGCAATTGTGTGTGTGTGTAAAACCGACAATTCTTTTCTTGTTAAATGTGACAATCAGAAATTCGAAAGTGAAAGCACCCGAAGCCCAACACTGACTTATAACATAGCAACAGAGGAACTCCCATTCACAAAATTCAAATCACAAATAATAGTACTGATGAATAAGAACGGGTTGAATGTTAACCACTTACGTTACCATAAAACTATGATAAAAGTTTATCAGCATGCATCGATTAATCCCATGTTGTAGCAAAAAAAAAAATTGCGAACAAATGTGTTTGTGCGACAAACTGAGAAAGTTAGTCGCAAAAGAGCGACCAGTGGGGACAATGAGTCTAGAGCCCTGAAGTGCTGTCTATTTACCCGTTTGTCGATGTCGCCATGCTGCAGCTGGACGAATCGGGCGCTGATAGCAGCGATGTAGCTCTGCTGATTGGAGAAGGCCACACGCCCCGCCCCCTTTGGGTACTTCAGCTCTGGATCAGTGTCAATGCCTGCATAACACACTCCACCATACAAGCGGTCCATGATCATCGCCAGCTCCACTGCAGAGAAACATACCATTAAAGTCTATTTAATAAAAATAAAAAAAACACATGGAGGACATAATTTGAAATTGTCACATCGGTTAAAATGAAATTAATACATTTAAAAAATGTAAGATTATTGAATGGAAGAATATATTACTACACAGTCATTTTTTAAACTTTTTTTTAACACTAACTTTTAAATACTTTTTGAAATTATAAGTTATGAAATTAGTAGTTATGAAAACAGCAACATTTATTAATTTTTTAATTCATTTTAGATTATTTGTTGTGATAATTGGCATCTCTTCACATTGTGTACATCATATGCAGCAATTTATAACACATACAACAACTAGTCGTGTGTTTAGTGTACCAGCTCTGAGTGGACGTGGTACTCCTCCTACAAAGATGGTTTTGCGAGGGTCCAGTGGCTGAGATCCGTCCATCACAAAATCACTGTCACTCAGATTCCACGGACGAATCTGGACCTGAAAAAACACATACAGATCCCACATATAAAACACAGTGTACATGACAACATAAAAAAGAATTGCATGTATTTTCATTAAATGTGCACTTGTAGTGTACTTCCAATCTAAAATATAATATTAAAGAAAACATTTTCATGATTTTTAAAAAAATATTTTGTCATGCTTTAAAGGGCACCTATTATGCCCCTTTTTACAATATATAACATAAGTCTCAGGTGTCCCCAGAGTGTGTCTGTGAAGTTTCAGCTCAAAATACCCCACAGAACATTTACTATATCATTTTGAAAATGCCTGTTTTGAGTGGAAGCAGAAACACGCTGTTTTCTTGCATGTCTCTTTAAATGCAAATGAGCTGCTGCTCCCCGCCCCCTTTTCCAGAGAAGGGCTGTGCCTTTATAGCTTGTACCTCAGATCTCTGCTAAAAAAAAACATCTGGTTGGTTTTGATTATCACATCTATCACACTGAAAGCATGTGTTTTAAAGGGGACCTATTATGCAAAAATCACTTTTATAAGGAGTTTGAACAAAGTTGTGTGGCTGCAGTGTGTGAAAACAACCAGCCTGTAATGGTAAAAATCCACCCACTCATTTTTTTATAATCCCAATAAATCATAAACAGTCTCTCAGAACAAGCGATTCCAGATTTCTCCCTAGGTACACGCCACCATTGGGATAAATCCCCCCCCATTTGTGATGCTCTCTGCCCTATTAGCATAAACACAGCCCTAAGCGAGAAGTAGTGATGGGAAGTTCCGATCATTTTACCGCCTCTGACCTTTGAGTCTCGTTCAGCAAAATGAACAAATCTTTTTTCGAGTCATTTCGTTGAGCTACTAAGGACACTGTGGTTAAGTTGCATTTTCGAAGGAAATGTACCGAAAAAAATCGATAAAGTCATGCCAGTCATTTTACACTGGACTGCCTCACAAACGCTGGATTTTCATAAAGTCTGGTTCTGAAAGAGGGATCAACGCCAACGCTTCGTGCGCGAACGTCAGATCCAGACAAAGTAAGCGCTTCATATTTTGTTTTGAAATTGCCTGTCTGAAAGAGCTTCTTAGCACTCTGTAAGGCTAATGTTGCTAAAGCTACCATCGTCTCTGCCTGTTTTCACTGATGCTGCCCTCACGTGCTACCAGAATGATCGTAAATAGGAATGTGGTCGTTAAAAAATGCATATGAAAGCAATGTGAGTCGATCGCTTGAGAGTTTCTGACAGTTTCAGTGCGTGAGATTGTTGTGTGTTGCCGGTGTGCTGGCGGGAGCATAAGCTCTTGAAGCTCCGCTCTCTTCTGAAAGGGGGCGGAGCACCAGCTAATTTGCATTTAAAGGGACAAAGACAAAAACAGCGCGTATTGGCTCATACCCTAAAAGTGGCAACTTAAACAAGCTATAAAAAATGATCTGTGGGGTATTTTGAGCTAAAACGTCACGTACACACTCTGGGGACATCAGAGACTTATTTTACATCTTGTAAAAAGGGGCATAATAGGTCCCCTTTAAACCATATCAGTTTAAACTTCTGATATACGGTTTCCTGAGCGCACACATCCGAAGTGAACACACAGAAAGCAGCTGTCACACGGCATGTGAGTACCAAACTAAGTTCTCCTTCATGTCTTTTTGTGCTTAAACTGTCAAATACACGCAAGTTTATGTTAAAAACACATGAGTTACAAAAACAGAGCCTTTTAAAGGAGTACACTTATTTTGATGTGTTAACTAACATACACTTATGTATGTGTATGTGTACAGTATGTGTGTGTGTGTGTGTGTGTGTACTCACGGGCTTGTCTTTGATGGTGGGGCTGGACACACACAGGTAGAGTTTCCCGTCCTCCTCCAGACAGGCTTCGATCAGCGCCTGAACTGAGCTCTCCTCTTGGAACAGGAGGAAGGCATAACCTAGACAAAAACCCACAACAGTCAATCACTGTAGCCATGACAGCTCTGTGTAACATACGATTTCTGACTGAATGAATAAAAACTAATCACAAGAACCAGAGGCACTGGGAGATTCTTGCTAGTTCTAGAGAACATTCATTATTACACATTCAATCATTTTATTTAAAACATTTAAATTAGTACACTTCAAATGTACTAAATAATAAAAACAGAAAGAGAATTCTAATAGTTCTACTATGTGAAAAACAGTAATAGTGTCTAGTACAATGTATGTACATGCAGGTTTCTGTTGCTGTGTTTGCTATAAATGTGGTGATTTTTCTAGACGTACCTTTAGGGGGGAAGTAAGACTTGCTCTCTGCTTTGTGTGGCCAATCAACAACCAGATGACCAAAGCGCCGAAAACTGCTCGTGATTTCATCTGTGGGAAATATGAGATCGTGACAATCAGACAGAGACGACAGAGAGCAGCAGGAACTGCTGCAGATCCTTTTTTCATAAAGATACATAATGATTTTATTTATGAGGTTAAGAACTTTAAAGCTGGAAAATTCAGTGTGGCCCTGATCACTATGCAAACCCTGTTCAATATATCTGCAAGGTGACGTTCACTAAAAGAAATAATTTTCCTCAAATTCTCCTCCGAATGAAAGTAAATCAGCATCTCTTATCAGCAGCAGCCATTTTGTCTGCAGATCTGCACTCAGTGGAGGTTTTAGGTTTTATGTGTCTCAGTGCTGTTATCAGTAACCTGCCACCTTCATGCAGCTTATTCCTTTTATAAAATGGTTACTACATAGCTGGCAAGGTGTTATAAGATAAACATACAGTAACAAAAATATAATAATTTATTGATGAGAAATAATAATCCTTCCACCAAACAAAGTATTTCTTCAGTAATGTTTAGCAAAAAGACTACAAAATGACTATCAGTTTTATAATATAATATAATATAATAAAATATAATATGACTAACAAAAACAGAGGAGTTGTACAAACAAGATGCATTCCTGCTTTCAAAAACATCTAGATGGAGTGCAGTAATACAGTGTGTAATGTTAGAATGTATTATATATATATATATATATATATATATTATTCATTCAATTAATTGGACTGCCATAAGAGATTCTGCATTCCTTTCAAAAACATCTATGCGGAATGCTAAGAACTGGGAACGAATGAGGGGTCTTGAGATGAACGTTCTAAAACATTTTTTCCAAATTTGACATCATTTTAAATATCACATAGACATAGGTATGTCACATATCATTCAAAAATCATCCTTAAATACATGCATTACAGTTCAAAAGCTCTGTCAAACGAACCTTCATCGATGTCAGGGGGCAGTCCACCCACAAACACTTTGCGGGAGAACCTCTCGATGCGCTCCCCGTTCTGATGGGGGTAACAGTGAGGAGACCCCAGGACCCCCTGGTTGCCATGGCCATCGTCTAGAAGGCCATCATCAATGGGGAAGAGGGAGGAACGTCCTGTTAAAAAGTAAATGACAGGTGAGGACACTTGTTTTCGCCTGGTATTGACATCCATCTTTGGTGATCTGATCAGCATTACACATCTCAAATGCAACTCTGGTGACCACTATAGAGGAAAGTCTCAAAACAAGGGCCCTTATTTTAGTGCAATGAATATATATTACATTAACAAGTGGTTATTCATGTCTAGGGTGCAGTAGGACATTTGACATAGCACATTTGTTTCTAACTACCTCTGAATGTGGTTTGAGTGATTGGACCAATCTGAACCCTGTTCACTCTTGTATTTAACTCTGTCCGATTGTGATCAGACCACCTGAGATAGATCATACCAATGTAATTCATTTATGTGTGTCAATGCGTGTATGAATCATGGCTTGTGTCAGTGAACTGGGGCTCTCAGTCAGTATAAGCCTCAAAAACACAAGTAAGCCTCCATTATATTGATAAACTCATCAAATTGTTGCTGGCGGTCAATGTAGTGTTCACAAAGAGCATCGTACACACATATACACCATACACAGAATACTGCCATGCTAACACAGATAGCGTAACAAACAGTGGATTTTACCTCGTCGTCTCCCATAGCTCCTGGCTGCATGTGAACAAAAACAATACAAGACACTATGAAACAACTGACTGAAAGCTTAACTTCATGTTTGTGTAAATACAGGCAAATGTTTATTGATGAAATATTCACTACAGCTGGTCATCATGGTCTGGATGCTGGTGTTCCCTAAGGCAACAGATATACTTGACAGTAGCATGCAGATGGTGATATGACCAATATATATGATATAATTATTTCTTGCTGAAAATAAGGTTGTTACAATGCCCAAATTTTAGATACCAGTAAAACTGATATCAATTTTGATAGGCTAATTGGATTTGATTAACTATAAGGACACAGACAGCAGCAGGTTTGTTAGGCTGCTGTCACTTTAAGACCTAATGCACGGATCCAATGTACTAACACACATTCAATTGTCTCCCAACTGTTTACAATCAAGACTGAAAAAAATCTGTGTTTGCATGAATACTTGCCAAAACAAGCATTCAGTTTTTTTCTTTTTTTTTTTTTCTTGGTGTAGCCTATTTCACCATTTAGGTGCAACCTGATTTTACTACAAATACCTACATATAATGTGATTTGTTGGAAAACGTACATCACAATTTGTGATAAAAAAGCATGAACCTGCAGCCCTAACCCTCAGTGTGGTGTGGGCAGGTTGTATGAAATGTACAAATAAAACCTAATAATATTAAGTTTTATTTGTACATTTCATATATGTATGTTATATTATAACACAAATTTGGAACCAAATTACCAAAACGCAAGGTTATGAATTGTCAATTGTCAATTGTCTGCTAAATGAATAAATGTAAATGGCATGAGACTGTGCTGGAAAGCTGCAGTAGACTGCATTTTATGACTTTCTCATTAACTGTGTACAAACTGGCTGGAAAAGGTTGAAAATTGTGCACCTTTTTTCATTTAAACAATTGATATACTACCCACCCCTAGACAGACCAGCATCAAAACCATCATAAACCGGTCTTTTCAGACTGATAGGTCAGTAAGAAGAACTTTTGTTTTCCAATAATGCATGAATAAACAAGATTTAAAGTTATTCCAAAAAGCACAATATTCCAGAAAACCTCTTCACACATCACTCCAAATAATCACATGACGCACAGCACACGTTCCCCTGGATCAACTAACTAACATTAGTGAAAGCTCTTCAAAATCATGTGATCTATACTAACACATGTCCTTCTCGCTCATGTGATCCAAACAAGCTCCACAACCAGTTCAACAGCACACAAGATGTCAGAGATGTGTATGCCCATGATCAGGCCTGCATTTCTCAAATGCATTGTAAGCCTAAGTAGACTGCAGAGCCATTATCACCAAAGATCTCTAAGGCTGCATTTACACTGGCACAAAAAATCAGATCTTTCGCTCACATCTGACACAGATCGTAATTTGTTGCACACGTGTAAACACAAAAACCCGCACGAGATCCGATTTTTTTGCATCCCGATCTGAGCCACTTCCAAAGTGGATTTTAATCGGATCGGATACCAGCCGTGTCTAAAGTGAATGTAAACAGACGTGCCAAAAAATCGGATATGGTCAAAAGATCGGATCTGTGCATTAAGACTTGCAGTGTAAACGCAGCCCAATATCAACTTAGCTCACAATGCTTTCGCCAGGACAGGTTGGTCCCAATCCCATTGCCCCTCTTTTGTCCCTACTTTTTTTGTCTACATTTAATTTTCCTTTTCTATAAAGGCAGATAATAAAATAAAAGTATAAAATCACAAAAAGATGAAAGGATATGCATGTGGTGGCTTCCTGCCACAATGTTTAGGTGTTCAGGGTGCTTGAAGACCCAGGTATACTCTGTGTTCCATTTGGTTGAGTTCACTCCTGGAGTCCTGCTCCTGGAGGGTCAACATCCTACAGAGTTTAGCTCCAGCTTGTCCCATACCTCACCTGCCTGGATGCTCCTAGTAACTCTTAAAGGGTTAGTTAACCCAAAAATGAAAATTAGCCCATAAATCAATCACCCTCAAGTCATCCTAGGTGTATATGACTTTCTTCTTTCAGACGAATCCAGTCGGAGTTATATTAAAAATAGTCTTTGATCTTTCAAGCTCTATCGTTGTACTCAGCGGGTGTTGCATTCCTTCGGTTCAAATGACGTGAAAAAAAAAGCACCCTTCCACAAAAAAAAGTGTCTCACACGGCTCCGGGGGGTGAACAAAGGCCTTCTGTAGCGAATCGATGCGTTTTTGTAAGAAAAATATCCATGGGGTGAACAAAGGCCTCCTGTAGGTGTTGTAAGTGTTTTTGTCAGTGTGTTGCTAGGGAGTCTTCAGATATCAGTATCAGTTGACCACTAGTAGCAACCACCAATAACCACCCAAGACACCCTAGACACACACTACCGATATTTTCAATCAACAATGGCGATAATTGAAAATATCAGTACCAATAATTGACACTATCGGTACCGATATTTTTAATTAGCGCCATTTTTAAGTCTCTCTGTTTGGCCAGTAAGTCTCGGATGCAGGATTTTTATTTTGCAAGCACTGAGAACCCAGTGCTTAAGCACAAACTTACAGAATTTTCTTAACATGTACACTGGGATTTGTGTACAGTGCCAGTGATGTACATTTTGTCATCGTCACAGTATGTGCTTACTATACAAATGTAGCCCGATTTTTCCAACTGCATATACTCTGTACACTCAGCTTGTACATGCAACAATTTTTTTGTTGCACTAATTAGTTGTTCCACAATGTGGTGACACTGGCCCAGCTTTTTGCTTCACAGTTGAAATTAAAGGAAACTGAAGAATCTTAAGATTAAATCAGAGGTCTTCAACCCTGCTCATGGAGACCCAATGTCTGGCACATTATATTTCCAACCTGCTTCAACACAACTGCCTGTGATTTTTCAAGTGGTCCTCAAGACATTGATTAGCTGGTTCAGGTGTGTTTGATAAGGGTTGGAGCAAAACTCTGCGGGACACAGGTGCTGCATCCAAATATGCCTACTTCGTAGTACTATACTACTAGAGTAGGTGAAAAACTGTATGTGAAAAGAGTAGTAAGTCCGAATTCATAGTATTAAAATAAAGTAGGTGAAAAGTACCCGGATGCTACTTCTGCCGAGATTCTGGAGTGCACATTCACTATCCCATGAAGCCATGGGAGAGGATCTGTGAATGGCAGTGAATCGATGCAACTGATGGTAGCAGATCACATGACAGTAACAACATGGCAGATGTAGTACATCCAAATTCATCCATACTACCCATATTCATGCTCCACAGAACATACTTATTTAACAGTCGTGAAGTAAGTTTCAACTAGGGATGTACATTTTAACCGGTTAACCGACCATACGAATTTTAACCGATTAGTACAATCAGTTAAACGGTTTAAAAAGTAATTTTTTTTTTTTTTTCAGTAATTTATCAAAATGTTTAAAAAGGTTTGCTGCATGGTTAAAATATGCTACGCGTATAATTTTTTATTGTTTTTTAGAGAGAGAAAAAAAACATTAGTCGCGCATAAGTTGAGTTTAATTATTTCATTCAGAAATAGGCCTAATGTCGACGCGAAATGTTTACAAACATTATAATAAACACTGTAAACATAGCTAGGCTATTTTAGGTCCCCTCACTCCACAACAAATCCTTTCAATTAACAGTATTTAGAAAAGAACAATAATTAAAAATATAAGAAGCTATAGCAATATAAACGACAAGCCAAAACGAATTCATTTAGGCTAAAACTAAACTGAAACCAACGTTGGGTCTCTCATTCTACACAAAATCAAATGTTTCCATATTCGCAATATGTATTTGAATGACAAAATATTATTTATTATGTAGCCTACTACTTCACTCGCGTTCCAATATCCACGTAAAACAAAATATTTTTCATAACATCACAGCCATATGTTTGACTGACTGTATTTTATTATGATAATGAACAGGCTGCATTGTCAAGGTAGCAAAACGTAACTGTGTGCGAGCATGCTGCGCCGGCGCAATCACTTGAATTTTTTCCTTCTAACAGTGGAAGAAACTACTCCTTTTAGTCCTAAAGATAATCGGAATTGTAAAAGGTTTGCCTTTATTTGTGTACATTCACAATAAAAACAAATCTTTGTGCTTTT